GTTACAGACTATTTTTCAAATATATTACTGGAATTCTGTATTTAAGAGTGATGGTCCAGCTTCCTTGTTCTATGCTTCAATATATCTTAAGAAATTACGTTTTGAGGTCTCTATCGGCCCTATTTAGTAGTAATATAATAAGAGGGTTTCATAAATGGCTTGAAATAACTTTACAAATTAAAAAATAGAATCATCCAACAGAATCGAGTTTAGAATCAATCAAATTTTATTAGAACTCAAGGTGATTTTATACTCTCAATTTTGAATCCGTAGCTATAGTCCGTTCGCGTTAAGAAAATAGTGAGTCATCAGTGCAACTACAGGGTAAAGGTGTATTCACAGTGGAGTAAAAATTATTTTTTTTTCAAACATTTAATTAAGTTTAATGGAAACAAATTTTCTTAAAATTACTTAAATCACTAATCAGTATCGCTAGATTCTCCAGTTACATTAATTATGAAAGAATTTTGTTCTGCAAGTTCCATGATGTCATCCAAATCCATGTATTTTTTCGCGTATCACGTGGTCGCAGCACTTCTTCCAACTATTAGCGTCTATTAATGCTATTGCGTCATCTAATAATTTTTTATGTCACTCATTTTGAACGTGGAGTTATTGGCACCAACATATTTTTTTTTATTTATTGTTTTTATTACTGTGCTCTCCACAGTCGTAAATCACACAGTTTAAAGTACTTATAAACATTATAAATTAGGCGTCTCTCTCCGCTATGGATTATTGACCCACTTATATTCTTTCGAATAGGTGAGATATTCATTTCCAAATTTAAGGTTGAACGAGTAACATGCAAAATACACAACTGTTTTGTTCGAAGGCCTGACTTCAACTGGTCACTGTGAACTCGACTTTATAATTTCTTGCATTTTAATTGGCTGGGGAGCGTGGCCAGGCCGGCGGACAACGATGACTCACTACCTATATTTTCTTAACGCGAACGGGCTATAGAGCAAATTCGAATAGGGGCTGAAATTGGAACTATAAGAATGGAAGTCATATTGATAATCGATGCAAAACAAAATATTTTTCATATTATGTATAATTAAGTACGTATTATAAGTCTTATGTGACGATTCATTGTTGCCTACACAGTAAAGAAAAATGTTTCAAATATATTTTGAAACGAAAGTCGAAACCATCAGTTTTAGTGGAAAATCCACAAAGTTGGCTACATTGGACAGCACTGAGTATCAGTAGTATCAGCACGCGCCGAAAGCGCTTCATGATATGACGTCATCAGCATGCGTCCTTCGATATTCGAATACCTACCGCATTCACAAAACGCGGCATGTAAGGTACGGCTGTACTGTGCGAGGTTTCATATGATTTCATATAACGAATTCTAAAATACTGCGCGTACGTTAAGAACTCAAAATAATTAAAAACTTTGGTTGCCAACCCACCTGCCAAGCGTGGCAACTATGGTAAAATAACTACATGAAGCAATTTATGGAGGAGGAATATGTTCAACAGTGGACTTTTATATGCTGTAATGAATGGATGGTGGATGTACTGAAATGAGATTTTCGTGATGTCTTGAACCAAATTAATATTGCAATATTTATAGGCTAACCCAGAATACCTTTAGTTTATTTTTAATTAACTCGTTACTTTTTTTATAGCCTAGATAATTATTTAGTTGCATTATATTATAATATTGTTATTAGAACGATTATACTGTGAGTATTAATTTCATTTGATGTTACAAGATAATAGAACTAAGTTTTTTTTTAATGAAGACGTCCATAGATTTTTATTTTGTGCCAGAGACTAACATACTCGTATTTTACTCATTTATTTCCAGCGTATTGATCGTGAGTCCACTTAAGTACCTCCGATATAATATACGAGTGTATGCGCTACGGCAACTCTGCTGTACCATTATGCTGAGTCCGTGGCCTTTTTGTTGCCGCAGTACAGATTTTTATTAAGTATTTTTTTGTTTGTAACATAAATTTATTTAAAAACAAGTTGCAGCAATGAACAAATATATTCTTTCTTTGAATCTAATTCTGACTCATTTGTTTTATCCAACGCGTAGTAAATATAAAAAATAATAATGCAGAGAAATGTTGAATATGAGCACAATTATGCGAGACATCAAATTAAAGGACCCTTTATTAATTCCTTTAGCACAAGCGCTGTTGGCTGCCTTTGTATTTTTCCCTAACAAAGACCTTTCTTTTGTTTTATGTCTCATTGAACAAAGGGATGTGTCGGTTACTGCGGCGCTAAATGTAGAGCTTTAATAATCTTCACGGTTGGTCTCGGAGGACGATCGCCGCATATACTTACGCCGGCAGTTGCTATATTTTTGTTCATCCCAGCATATATTTAGAGGAAAAGCCGTGCTGCTGCTATAATATTTATCATCTCTATAATTGGAGAAGCACTAACTAGCAGACATGCGGTCTGAAAATGACGATGAATAATGATAATAATACAATCATTCGTGCAAATGTAATACAGATCAATTTTAACTACCACCAAGCAAATAAATTGCAAAGCGTTACGTTTGTAAGATAACAAGAGCCCTGGGTCGTTGGATAATACAAACAAAACAACGAATTCTACTAAGTCGGTAGTTAATTACTCGGAGCTGGTTTGGAATGATCACTGATGACATACAGCGAAGCTTAGAAATGTTAAAAAATTAAATTGGAGCGAGAGTAATCTAAAATAGATTAAAAAGATCAATGTAAAATTGAAATATCAGCAACAATGATAATAATAAATATTTATAGCTTTAGTTATAGAAATGAGTAAAAGAATTTGTGATTATATTGTTAGATGTAAAATAAAAATCAGCTAACCCCTAGAAACGTTTCTCTTTCTAGACTTATTTATGATTCGTATTGAATCATTGTCTGCAAACAATTAAGTTATTATTAAAAAGGAAACACGGAATGCGAAAATAGTGAACTATTTTTAATTAATTAAGGTTATGTGTACATGTATTACTGTTACAAACTATCAAAGTCTATTGCAGAATATAGGTCTTTCCTGTAAACTGCCTCATGGACACACCCTAATAATTTTCAATAGTTGTCATGCTTATAAAGTAGGTTGCCAACCACAGCTGTTTGTTTTTAAGTTGTTATCAGGAAGACGCTGCTGCCCCTGCAGACCGCCTGATGGTAAGTGGATGCTGTGGCACATAGTCATATAAAAATAACGACTCAAATACATGCTTTGTGTTATTCCTTGGTGCAGGTCTACGTTGCAAGTAAATTTAAACTTAGGTACACAAATGCACCTTTGCATTTCCAATACTGACTCAAAACACATTTAGCTCACAATGCAAGTTAATCGTGTCCGCTGCAGTACGCGGACTTCGAGCCAGACTTGCTTTTAACAACGTCGCCGTAGCCTTCTCGGCTGTGTATGCAATTTCACGTAGACCAACATTTGCTTGCACTGCATTGTTTCTGTTTTGAGATACATTTTTACATTGTTTATTTTCGAATCTGTGAAAGTAAAACTGTAATTTTTTATTTCTGGTAATATTATAAATGAATTCTCGGATACAAAATGCTTATAAAGACATGTTATGTTTAAATATTATAACGTGGTAGAGCCATATTTTAACTATATAATGGTTGTAGTACAAATGCATCAGCTAGACCGAGGTAACACCACGCTTTCACTGAATACCAGCGTAAAATAACAGCTTAATGCTGCTTTGTTTCGTACGATGAGTATAGAGAACCGGAGACCCTTATTACTGATGCGTCAAGTACGCATACGCAGCTAAGCATGGGGTTGTAGCACGATTTGGTCACCAGAGACCATGCTCTCACATAATATAAATGCATGATAGCAGCTTATTGCAGCTGTGTTTCGTATGGTGTATGTAGAGAACCAGAAACTCTTTTTAATGGAAACTATACTATAGTCCTCAGGGGTGACAACGCATCTGCATTTTGATTATTAATCAAGGATAGATTTATATGTCTATCCACTTACCGTTAGGTGGACTATGTGCATGTTGTCCTTTATTTCGGTTACCTTATTCTTTAAAAAATGCAATTAAATTATGTGAAATTATGTTTTCCTTTTAACATCTTTGATGTCAATTTTTATTCCTTCACGTTGTTTGAAGTCGATTTTTACCGTTTATTCGTTCGATTTATACATAAAAAATCTTAAATTTGATAAACAGCTTTACATAGCCACATATTAAAGAAGATTTTTTACAGAGACAACATGTATTGTTCGTGAGAATTTATCTAAAGTGCGGTCTGGCACGTTTTTCTCAACTCACGCCATGCGATGCGCTGGATGGTTTATTTCAAGGCAGCTGGTTTAGACGCCATTAAATATGCCCCTACCATAAAAGTAAAATCTTCACAGATCCATATTATTTTCTTTTACATACATACATAACAGCCCATAAGTCTCCCTTGTAGATGGGGGGATATATGTCATAGTTGTTTTTTTATTATTATTTGAAATTGGTATCAGAAAGTTATTGCTGCCTATCACCTGGTTTGCTCTATGTTACCTCTTACGTGTCACCCACAGAATGCTATAGGGTGGTGAATTATCTCAGCTACCACTGTATTGTGATTTTGTTATTGATTCTATTATATTTAATATATAATTACTCTATTTTATTTAATTACTCTATTGTATTTTATTATTGATTCTATTGTATTTAGTAATATTAATTGATTTAGTATACAAATTCAAATTTGTTCTTATACACTTATTAGATGTTACAACTCCTTCCCTGCCTAGGAGTCCGTCTGGGTACGCACCACCCTCTTACCTATTTCTAGAACTAAATAGCAGTGCTTGATGAGCTGGCTTCAATATTTGTTTTTAATGTATAAGCTCAAATGGGCGCGAATTCAATCGGCTTAAATCAATTCAATCTTCTTTAAAAATCTGTGATGAGACCCAATATTCAAACTTTAGACCTATAATTTTGTTCAAACGACTGTGCGTGATTCCAGCTGTAAGTCGAATTAACCCATGGTCTATAGCACTTTGATAAGCCAGTGCACCGCGCAGTCATCTATGTGATCCTTATTATGGGCTAGACAAATTGCCATTTTCTATATTAAATGTTGCATGTCTTGCAAATATTAACGTTGCATTCAGTATTTGTTTCAGCGTGTCTTTTGTTGCACTTTAGGGAAGAAGAGCACCAACAAGCTGGTAATTAATCTTTTAATGCACTAACGCCCGATATTAATAATGTATCTCGAATCCAAGATTAACCACAATCTTGGATTGGGGCATGTCGTTCGATTGATCTTCAATCCGCATGCCAATAACTCAACTCGACTATCCCAAATTTTTTTCGACGACAGATTGCAAGCAATCCGATCCCTCTTGACCGTTCCATTTGATGAAAAATATCGATTGCATAAAAATATATTAAGTGTGTTTTAAAAATAAATCATTCACGTAACTACTTAAAAAAAATAGTTCAAAATAATCTTTGTAAGTTGAATATTATGTCTAAAAATTTACAGAAATTTTAAATTTCACAGTCTATTCTTGGTATTAAAACTATGACATTATTTAGCTAAAATGGAACGTATGATGTTAGGCGTTTTATGTTTGACATATTTTGATTTTGACAGATCATTTTGATTGCATTTGCGAGTTGCAACGTAAATTATTTCAGTGTAGCAAACTTAAGACAATATATATCTGTTGTATATTAGTAATTACAGTAAAATGGATTCAGAAATCGTAAGTACTTATTGTTTTATAGAAGTGAAGTTCGATCATTATTATATGAATCGCTTCATTTGAAGATATAATTATTCACCAGGTAGTCCCCTTAACCTACAGGTGACTTTGCACGCTTTAAAAGACACTCAACTGACTAAACTAAGTTGGCTGTGAACCGACTTACCCCTACCACCGCTGACTCGGGGACGGAGTGAGTCGCCATTCTGAGCTCATTATTTTTAGAGTGTAGAGAAAAACTTTCCGTATTAGGGCTAGCAAACTACTGCTATGGGAGGGTGGGTAATGGCTTATATCTTCAAATGAAGCGATTCATATAATAATGATCGAACTTCACTTGAGAAGTTCGTTTGATCTTATATTATATTTCATCGCTTCATTTTTCAGATATAATTATTCACCAGGTAGAATTTTAGAGCAGGAAGTTTTTCGTTGTAATAAAATAATATATATTTCTTAGAATATATTTATTAGTTACCGATCGGTACATGAAACGTTATGTAATCACGATAATTTGAACAATTAGTTTTTGTATTTATGAATACAGAAAAAATCTTAAACTGGTGATTGGACGTAAAGCAAGCGGATCTTGCAAAGTTCCCCTCATCAACAAGGGTTCTATTGTAAAATCGCGCAAAAGTATTCGATGTAGGAGTCCATCCGGCAGCTTTACGGATGACATCAACGCTGAGGCCCGCGCGGCCCGCAGCTGAGGTAGAGGCGTGGCGAGTGCTGTGGGCGCCAAACGTTGACGTATCCACGCCGCTTTCCGAGAGCACTTGTTTAATCCATCGACTGATTGATTGCGTCGTGGCTGGTCTATGTGGTGGCTTGTAAGTGAGGAACAGTTTGCCTATGTTTTCCGTTCTTTTACTTTCTGTGACAGAAATATAATCTTTTAGAACGGTAGCTGGGCAAATATTCACATTTTCTAAGAAAAATGGTATCAGCAGTACAGGTTGCTCTCGGCCTGGGGTGGAAGTCTTTATTAGATCAGTAATTATGATCTTAGCGTTATTGTGAGAAAATGATATATTTTCCAACTTAATTAATGATAGCGTTTGTACTCTATGGGCTGTACAGAGGGCTAATAAAATTGCTAATTTCTTTGTAATTTTTTCCAGATTTAAAGTCGTATTGGGATGCCACCCTGCAACGTGATTTAAAACACTTTGAGGGTCCCAGGTCTGTGTATATTTTGGAATGTTCGGCCTTAATTTATAAGCTCCTTTTAGCAATCGACTTACATGTTCGTCGGAACCAATATTATTTCCGAGAAGTAATGATAGCGCTGATCTATGCGAATTGAGACTTCCGTAAGAACAACCGGCATTAAACTGGTCAGTCAAGAAGGATAAAAAAGGAGATATAGATGGTTGAAATGGATTAATATTTCTGTTGTCACAAAACCGCCACCATGCTTTATAGGTAACATTATACTGTTTTACCGTGCTATCGGAGAGCGATGCTAGCATGAGGTTGAGGGCCTCTGGTGGGCATCTTCGGGTGAAAGCGGCACCCAAGGTAAGGCTCGCGTGTAAAGGGTGGTGTTCTCTGGAATGTGATCGTAAAAGATTCTTGTTAGGGCGCAAGAACAGAATATCAGATGCTAATAACCCTTGTAGTAAGGGGAACCGGGGCTGTGAAGGCCAATAAGGAAAAACAAGGATTCCGTGAGCCCTGTCATCCATTATTTTCCTTAAGCAATTTAATATTATGGAAAATGGGGGGAGAGCGTAAAAATAACATCCGCTCCAGTTTATAGTAAAAGCATCTACCGCCATTGCATCTGGATCCGGTCTCCAAGAAAGAAAGTTTGTGCATTTGGCATTAGTGCGGGAGGCGAATATGTCGATATTTGGCTGACCAAAATGAGAAACAATGGTTTGAAAGCTGGAAGAGGAGAGTTCCCATTCGGTGTCAGGGTTTATAATTCTAGATTCAGCGTCAGCCCAGTTTTCTTTAGTATTGACGTATGACGCGTAGATCCAAATTTTTCGCTTCTCACACCATTGCCAAATTTGCCGAGCGATCCCGTTTAAGTGGGGGAATTGTACCCCGCCCATGCGATTTACATAACTAATGGCTGTAGTGTTATCTACCCGTAATAGTATCGCGCAATTAGTTTCTTTAGATGCCAAGCTTTTGAGTCCAAGAAAAATTGCCAATAGTTCCAGATAATTTATATGGTAATTGCGTTCGCTAACTGACCACCCTCCGCGAGCGCGTTCTTCATCGCGCACTGCGCCCCAGCCGGTTCGTGAAGCATCTGTGTAGATTTCAATTTTATAGCCGGCGTTTCGCAGTGGATGTAATGTTGTTTTGATGTTATTGGTCCACCAAGTAAGATCTTCAAGGATAATACTAGGTAAATTGATTTTACTCTCATAATTCTGATTTTCAAGTAGCGCGAGATATTTTTGACGTTCCAATAACTTGGTGTATAACCAACCGTATTGGACAGCCGGGCACGCTGCAGTTAGAACACCAATTAATTGAGCAAATTCTCGAATAGTGCATGTGGGTAGACAAATAAACTTCTGAACTAATTGCGCAATACTGTTAAGTTTATTATCTGGTAGAGAAATGGTTAGATTCTTAGTGCAAAAGAGAAAACCTAAGAATTTACAACTTTGCTTGTGTTGGAGCGAGCTTTTATCAAAATTTATAACGAAACCTAGACATTGCAATAGTTTCAAGGTTTCATTTGCGTTAGATCTGCAATCCTCATAAGTGTTGCCGATGCAGAGAATATCATCTAGATAAATTACTGAATTAAAGCCCGCGCTTCTCAAGTGAGTTACGATTTCTTTCATAATCTTAGTAAATACCCTGGGAGCCACTGACAGCCCATAGGGCATTGACGTAAACTCGTAGGTCATGGGCTGATTGTTTCTCTTAAATTGAAATCTTAGATACTTTCTATGTTCAGCATGAATCGGAATTAGTAAGTAGGCTTCTTTCAGATCAATTGTGGCTAAGTATCCGTATTGGGGTATTAACTTTGCCGCTGTTCGATAATCTTCCATCTTGAAATGAAACTTTGAAACATATTTATTTAACGATTTCAAATTTAATATAAAACGCTTGCCGCCGTTTGTCTTGGAGGCAAGGAATATTTTAGAGACAAACTGGTCTCTACTTGGAAGACATTCTGTTATGGCACCTAAGTCAATCAGCTTTTGAATCGCAGTTGACATTTCCTGGTGCTCTAACTCCGAAAGGGTATTGCTAGGAACGTTTGTTTGGCAGACTTCCTTGCAAAAAGGTATGTATAGACCGTTTTGTATCCAATCTAAAATTACTGAATTGGATGAAATTCTCGTCCAACAATTAAAAAAGTATTTAATTCTACCTGCATTTACCTGAGTTACTGCGGCGCTGGGGCACGAGACTTGTTCGCTGCTGAAGGCTTCGACGCTGGCTGCTGTTGCGTCGAGCTCGGGTATGAACGGCGGCTCTGCGTCGACGTTTTCTTCCCACCTCGGTTGCAGCGGTTCGTTGAGTACCGAGGTGGGCCGGACAAGTTTCCCGAACTAGAAGAGCGGTTGCTAGTGGAATGAGAGCCGGAAGGTTTCGGATTAATCTTTTTGATTTGCAGACCCTGTCGTTCAATAGCTCTGGCTGCCTTGATCTTTTCTGAAAGTTTGTTATCGAACAAAGTTTCGTCTCTTACTGAACCTTGAACTACGTGGAGAAATTCTTATCCAGGTTTGGTGTAATTAGCTTTATGCGGCTATTCGTATTTATCGTATGCAAATCCGAAAGAATACGGCAGGCATTGCTAAGATGTTGGATAGCGTTCTTCTTGTCGTCCCTACTTAAGAGAATATTGAGCGCCCTGTTAATGGCCGTTATCCCCGACCCGAGTTGCTGTTGGTGAACTACCAGGATCTTATCTCTGTTTCTTACAGAGTCTATAACTGCTGCTGATATTTCTGCGTTTAGTTTAGGTGCTTGCAGTAACCTACAGTTGGCCGGGATTAGGTACTCCTTCAGAATTTTTTCCTTTTTATCTTTTGGCAAGCCTTTGACAAGTAGAGGAAGCCACAATTTGGCTAAACTCTCGTGAATTCTTTCTCCAAACTCTGGGGTATCGCTGGTGGACTCACCGAGGGCTTCTAAAAGTTCAGGGTCGAATTCTGGTTCAGATGATGCACCGTTCGGGTTTTGTTCCGTCGAAGTTGCCTCTAAAGCCAGTGGCTCTAATGGTTTCTCCGCCCTGGTCTCTGGTCTAGACTCTGGCTCCAGTGTGGGCTCAGGTTCCGGTATAAGCTCGGGCTCCAGCATGGGCTCAGGTGTTGTGGGACTCTGCCCTGAAGCAATCCCGAGGTCCTTCGTGTTAACTATAAGGCTTAGTTCAGGGTGGTTGGCGTCTTCAACACCTAAAATAATATTTTTAGGATTAGAAAATTGGATTACTTCAACGAACGAGGCTCACGGCCTGCCCTGATGAAGAATTTTGTTTCAACGAACGAGGCTCACGGCCTGTCCTGATGATGGTAATTTTTTCAACAAACAAGGCTCACGGCCTGTTCTGATGAAAGCTGATAACACGTGTAAAAAACAACACGTGCTAACGAAACAAATGTTACGTAATCTTGACTCGTAGTGAATCGTTATTATACAAAAATAAATATGCTTACCTTCATTATTGGAAGATTGTGATGATATGACCCGTATTCGGCGATGTCGTGCGACATCGCGTTCACGTAATTTTCTAAGTTTGCGTTCGTAACGCTCCATTTTTTCTTCCGCACTTCGTTTTGGCATTATAAATTTTAATTATAATTATAAATACTATACAAAAAAAAATTGTCAAGAATAAAGTGTAAACTTATTGGGAGACGCGTGCTGTCGTCACCGTGCACGAAAAAGGAATGAGCTCAGAATGGCGACTCACTCCGTCCCCGAGTCAGCGGTGGTAGGGGTAAGTCGGTTCACAGCCAACTTAGTTTAGTCAGTTGAGTGTCTTTTAAAGCGTGCAAAGTCACCTGTAGGTTAAGGGGACTACCTGGTGAATAATTATATCAGAAAAATGAAGCGATGAAATATAATTTTCTTTTTACTAGGTAAAAGGCAAACCTCTTACAAAAGAAGAGACAAAGTCTTTGCTTGGACTAATAGAAGGTAGCAAAATAATAACCACCAAAACAACCAACGCCACAAACAACAAACTCAAAACGGAAGAGTGGATTCGTTTGGCAGAGCGGTTCAATGCCACAGCTACGAATTGTCCGAGAACACCACAGCAGTTGCGTTTGAAGTGGGAAAATTTAATAAAAAACTCGCGCAATCGCAGCCCCCAAATAAGGATGAACCAAATTAAGGTTATCTACTTCTAACACATGTATATCTTTATTCATAGTCTAAGACTAAGACTTTTAATGGCATGTTGTAATAATAATGTTAAATCTAATATTCTTATTGCAGACTGGTGGTGGTCCTGCCGATTATATACCTCCAGATGACAAATTAGACCGGGTGACCAGTCTATTAGGAAGTACAGTCAGTGGGTTTACTGTGCCTTATGGGGGTGATAAGGAAATGGCTTGGTTTGATGTTTGTGGTGGTGCTGATGGTATAGTTGGAATAAGTGGTGATCTTGAAAAAATTGGAAATGTGACGGTGCAGACAGAACAAATAGTTGATACAAGTGAAACCACAATCTCAACACCATTATCTAATGAAAAAGGTATTGAGACTGTGGCCGCTGACTATCAAGTGTCGGATCTAGTTGACCAAAATTTAATAACTTCTAATAAAACCAAGAGGCTTACATATGGTACACCTAGAGCAGGTAATGGTTGTTTTGTCGCTTTTTGATTTATTACTGATTAATGTTTCTTGCTTTTTTACCTTCCATACTTTCTTTAGATTTATGAAATGCAATATTTATTAATTTAAACTTGTGGAGGATTATTTATGTAAGGCTTATTTAATTGCGTCGATGCAAGCTATCACATCATTTATATCACAGGGAAATCAGACTGTCAATCATAATCATTTGTGAAAGATCTTTTCTTTATGAGATTGACTCTTTGATGTTAATAGTTATAATCTCATTAAAGTATCTTAACCTCCTTACTGAGTTGGATATACTTGCTTTTTCTTCACACTGTAATCTTATAGATGAGATGACAGAATTTTATGAATACTGATGTCTTTGAAACGGCTAAATACAAACAATATCCCATTATTGCATCCACAGTATTATTATATGTTAAGTTTTATGAAAAAAAAAGTAAGTGCACTTGTATTGATCTCACATTTGCTTTGTTTTCCAGAGAAAAAGAAATTTAAGCCAGATGAGAACAGGACAGCCTGAATATTATTAGCCTGCTATAGCTGAATATTATTCAGCGAAAAAACAATGCTTGGATGCCAAGTTAAATAATATTAACTTAGACTTCACAGATCGTTTATTGGCACGCTTTACCCATAAAATGGATTAAAATACCAATCTAAGATAGCAAAAATTGGATCAGGATTGATTATTAATTTTGGGTGTATGCGTGCGTTATATGTCGATAGCCTGATGAAACAATCGATCCATGTGCGACCGATACCACAACCGGCGGAAGACATAAGTATCCACCAAGGTATGTTAAATAAACTGAGTTCCTACATCATTCATTACTATACGTAATGAATGTTTTAAAAAGTGATTAAATGAGTACCCAGTGTGGAAGTGAAACATCGTAATCAAACCTAAATGGCAGAGAAATACAAAAATATTGCACCGTGTTTTGGAGCGACGTGGCTTTCTTCTCTCGTTTCTGAGAAGGTAGCACTTATTGGGAGCTAATTATGAGACTACTACGTGGTAGAGCCATGCTACGACTATAGTATTATTGTAGCGCGAATGAGTCAACTTGTCCGAGGAAGGACCACGCTCTCACAGGATTCCGTTTTAGTCCTCAGGGGTGGTACCGCACCCTCATTTTGATTCTTAATCGAGGGGTAGATATAGATATATATGAGCCACAGTATCTACTTTTAACCTCTCAACCCCCTAGCGGTCTCGGTAACCGTTAGGGATTTGACGGAATATGGCCGCTGTCTCATGAGGTCGCCCCCACCCACAGCACTTTAACCCATAAAAATTTATATATAGAGACTAATTTTTCTATGAAGAAGTTTGGCATTACATAATCAATATGAAATATTGTATTATATTATAATTATATATTATGAATATCTATCCTCTAGTGCAATAAAAAAACCTGTTATCCTATGAATATTTACTTATAATCTACGTTCATTTCGTACGCCATTTTCGCGTGAATGTTATTGTGTTGATTTTTGAATTTTTCTGGTATTTTATTAGTGTTTTAGTATAGTGTTTTATTAGAAAATAGTAATTAAAGTTTTTGTGTGAATATAATTTATCTTTTTTACGTAAATAATTTCGAGTAATATATATTGAAATAATTGTGATTTTCACGCTGCCGACATTCGCTTGGTATATTTTTTTTGTTATCAAATACAATAAAATCTTTTTGTAATGAAGTAAAACCTGACTTTTGTTTAGACTACAAGATAGGGAGTTTTGTCTAGATTTTACAATACTACACTTCGTCATAGAAAAGTAGTCTGTAAATATAAGTTTTAATGGTTTACGTGCTGTGGGTGGGTGCGGTCGCATGCGACTGCTCGAAATTTTGCGGGCGCATGCCTGACCATTTCCTTGTTGGTGAGACGCCTATTACGGTTCTGACACCAGACTTCCAGGATATCCCAACAAGTCACTTATCAAGATGGTAGTACCAAAAAAGATTATTGACAGATTTCTGCGACGCCAGAACAACAACAACAAGAACACCTGTTGAGAATGCAACAGCTACCGAAATGGCAAAGGAAGGTCAGAGAATTTGACATAGATCACATTGTTCTTATAAAACCAGATAGTTTGCCCACAAGTAAATGGATGATGGGACGTACATTAACTTATATATTACTAGCGTAGTATTGTAAAAAGACGTCTGGGTTCTGACGGTGTTACTCGTGTAGTATACAGTGTAAAAAGTGGTGCTAGTATCGTGCAAATATGTGTAAATAAGCTGTGTCACTTAGCAACAGACATTGAATAATGATTTATTTTATTTATAACTAAGGCAAATTTTGTCTATGTATAGTTAATATTCTATATGTATAGTTTAATTGTGTACTGATCTTTTTGTCTTTATTTTTTTTCTTTTGTGTTATCTTTGAGTCCATTGTAACCAAAAAACGATTATACAATTTGATAATAAATTTGTTAAAGGACTCTCAGGCTCTTTGGTGGGTGGTATGTTCGGATAAAATGATATATATAAGAGCGAGCGTAAGTGTGAATACGTATGCATGTGTGAGTACGTTTAATATCCTATAACTTTAAACCAGCAATTCTTGTATATATATATATATATATATATATATATATATATATATATATAATCGGAATCTCGGAAACGGCTCCAACGATTTTCATAAAATTTAGTGTCCAGGGAGTTTCGGGGGGCAATAAATCGATCTAGCTAGGATTTATTTTGAGAAAATGTCCTTTTGTCCGTGTTTTCAGGCAATTCAAAAACTGTTACAATATAAGAAGGTAAATTTTGACAGATCAATAATGATCGTAATAGCTCAGGTGGGATGTCGGTCGGGCGTGATGTCTGAGTTCCGTGGTTCGCGTCCTGTCTCTGGTTCGGCTATTTCCTTTTTTTTTTCAAGTTCCTTTCTTTTGTGAGAAAATCTATTATTTCAAGTCCTTTTTTTAGTATTTTTTAAAAATACGAAAATTTTAATAAAACTAATTGCACTCATGATTTTTTATTCAAATAACCAGTTCAGTTTTTCTATTCTGTCAATAAGATCAAAAATTTTATTTATGTTTCATCAGTATGTAATTTATAAATGTAATTTAAAAAAAAACCAAGCAGAGCTCGGTCATCCGGGTACTTTAAATACATAATGTGTTCAATTCAATCAGTTGCAAATAAATCATCACGTAGTACCTACACTTCTTAACACTTCTTTCTGTTACCACAAATTCCTACAAAGGAAAGTGAATCTTAACATTTAGTACAACACTTTTTTGCTGGAAACGAGACATTCCATCTCAGTCCTCAGGGGTGAAAACGCATCCGAATTCTGATTCCTATTCAAGGATAGATGTATATGTCTATGGGTCAAAGCATCCACTTATCATCAGGTTGGCTGTGTGCTCGCTTGTAACCCTTATTCTATAAAAAACTGTATACCTAAGTCTAAGTATAGTTTTGACTAAGGACGTTGGTCAAAACCTTTACTGTAAAAATATTGGGTAATAGTGATTTTGATCAAAGTTTGTCGGTTAAAGGTGGTTTTTACTATGAACTTTAGTCAAAACTACTTTTGACTTATACTTTTTAGAACAGTTAATTCTAAAATTATATTTTATGTCACTGTAATGTACCCTGCTGGAGGGTGGCCCGAAGGCCACTCCAGCCGCACCATAACCTACTGTCATTGAGTTTTAATCAGGAAAAACCATTTTTGACTAAAACATTAGTAAAAAACTGTTTTTGAATAAGGGCCTCGGTAAAAACCATTTTTGCCTCAGTTTCGCAGTCAAAAGTGGTTTTGACCAGTTATTGGTTTTAACTGTGACTGATATATGAAAAGCTACGATGCAGCGGAAAAAAATTCTAATGTAGTTGATATGTTTTATAAGAAAAATATTCTAAAGCTAAAACGTAAACTTGAGCCGTAAATATTTATGTAATCGGCATTCAGAAAGCGGGCATCGAGTTACAATCTGCTCTCATAAAGGTCCGTCTTTATGTCTCTTTGGGGAAACAAAAAGAGAAACGGGACGAATAATTTTCTATCTGACATGAAATGAAACAACAATTTCCTATGGTAACTTAAATTATATTTAAAATAAACTGCATTCCAGTTTATGTTATACTAGTGTGGCATAGCAATCATATTTGTTTAATTCATTAGCCTCACGAGTCATCCGTGGTGGGAATCATGTTAAGCCTTGCGAGGGGTTCGAATAATGAACGAATAAATTAATGAATATACTTTTATTGTACACCACAAACAAATATACAAAAAACAAAACAAAAAGCAGATTATATGTACAAATTGGCGGCCTTATCGCTACATAGCGATCTCTTCCAGGCGACCAAAATAAGTAAATGTTATAAAAATAACATAAAGTAGTATATAAAATAGGTATGATTACTTTTATTTATTATTTAGTATTTGCGAAAAAATACTAAATTTAAAAATCATGACTATACTTAGCAATTTGTAAAATACACAACTCTTAAGTGTAAGAAATGGTAGGAAAGAAAATATATAAATATTACAATTGCGTTTATTTTTGCGTATATGGAACGTAGAAACTTGAATAGATCCATGATGATAGAGCACGATGTAACAGCAGATCGGCCTTGAGAGCTGGCCGAGTGGCTGTTCAATTATCTGTACTCCTACACATTTACACCATCACTAGAAGAAACGTGTCTATCTGAAATTATACGGCGATCTGTATTATTATTAACATTTAAGAGAAATGCTCAAGTTAAGTGAATAGAGTTACATTTATAGTAATATTTAATAACTGACAGACTGACCATCAGATGACTTACAGGTAAGCTTTGTTGTTGATTCCCTCGAGTCAAGCTTGCTGAGTGTGAAATTTGCTGACCACAGGCAAACAAATAAATAATTGTTTTGTCTGAAAATGATTAACCAAGCCTACTAAAAAAAGTATGTGTAAACACAAACGTACCGTTTGTGAATTTCAACGTGGTAATTGGAATTTTTATTGCATGAAATGCAACTTTCCACACTATACCTTCCTTCAACATCGAGCATGAGAAGTCTGATAAGGTTGATGTGCTTACGAAGTTTCGTACTAACAAAAAAAGGCGACCTTCCCGCGATGTGAGTGCTCCATTCCGGATGTTCGGTTATTACAGTACTGGATTCGTAAAGCAAGCCTCTCGTTGGACGTCAGCAAATTAAGTGGGTCTGATGGAGTCCCTCCCATCGTTCTGAAGGCGTGTGCTCTAGAGTTGGCACCGGTTTTAACATGTCTTTTCCGGTACGTCTCCTCTCAAGACGTAGTCTATATAGTATCTATAGTATGTGATTTTGTCATATTGGAAAAGCAGATGAATTTATGGATAAAATATATTTCCGATTGCTGTTGATCCAATATTTATTTTACTTGTATTATGGCTCAGTAACGTATATAAAGCAATTGACATGTACATTATCAAGAAGACAAGTTTTTTCATTTTTCGAATCACTGTATCTTAGATAGAAGTGGTGATTATTAGGCAAAAA